AGCGCAGGGGCGGGTGCTGTCCCGGAGCCGCGGGCGGGCGGGCGGCCGGTGGGCAGGAGCCGGGTAGGTCTCGGGCTCCCTGGATGCGTTTCCTCGGCCGGGTCCTCTGCAAGGCTCGGGTGCTCCGAGGGGTCTGTTGCTCTTGTTATTCGGGGTGTTATTTCTTCCCTGGGATTTCAGCCATTGAGCCTGAGATTGGCGGGGACCGTTGCAGCGCGGTCGTGCGGGGCCGGGTTTAAGCGCGGTCGCACAGGGCAGGGTCGAGGCGTGTTCTCTAGGGCAGGCTTTACCGCCTGGACATTTTTCTCTCTCCATTTTCGTCTTTCCTTTGATAGATAGATGTGCATTGAATAGATTGGGGGGGTTGTTCCTGACAAGAAAGCACCCCATAGGTGCTAAGGACTGGTTGCTTTATGGTTAACATATATCTATTCTTCTCCATACGGGAGCTGGCGGAGCAATCAACCTCTTAGCTTCCCATAGGACTTTGTCTGACATAGAGGATTTCTCTTCTAATCCTCACCCACTGGTAATTTACAATGGATGACATTCTTATTGATTTTTTTTTTTTCTTCCTCCCCCCCACCTTTCCCTCCTGCACTTTTCCCCTGCAAACTCCACTATTGAGGTTTTAGCTGAAATAAAGGACCACTTGTGAGTCTGTATGGAAAGGTGTTTAGTAAAGATGCCTCTAAACCTTTAACAAAAAAAAGATTTTTTTTTTCAATTTCTCAGTTGGTCTAATAAAAGGTATCATTTTGGAACCAAGAGTTCTAGATTTTTGCACCTCTAAACCTTAGGTGAATATTTGGTGAATATTTCAGTAGGTTTCTTCTTTTTTTTTTAAAACAGAGATCTGAAAAAAAAAACCCAAACCCCCAAATCAGTGAGGCATTTTAAAAAAAAAATCATATTGTGTGCATCAGAATAAACCTTCGGATTGTGAGGAGTAATTACAAGTCATCAAATGGGCTTGCTGTAAGTGGACATGTTTTTGTTTCAAAGCTATCCGCTAATCTTCATAGAGAACACCCCGGGATAAGGTATGTGCTGTGTGTTTGACGCGTGAAGGTCTTCACTGCGATGCTTTGATTTAATACAAGTAAAATGGTGTGAAGAAGATGAGCTCCATAATATTCCCCCTTTTCCAAAAAAATTGCTGCAAGGATCACTTGCTGAAATTACAAGAACATGCTAACAGCTTTGATCCACTGTAGTATATTTCAGTAGAGTTAGGGAAATTTATGAACTAGATCTGAACAATCTGTCTTTTTGAGTGCTTTTCTGTTTTATGAAATAATTGCTTGTTGATTGCATTTTGCAACAGTCTTAAATGTGAGAGAGTGGGTTTTTTCCCCTCCTTATGTGTGTCCCTCGTGTTCAGTCTTATTGTTCACCTTTTCCTAAAGGAGCATATTGTCTGTCAGTGGTGGTATTGAGATTTGCATCTACATAGGCTGGGCAGAAGACCACAATGATATTTTTTTCTCTTTAATAATATTCAAATAATAGAAACTGTTGAAAGTGTAACAATTAGTTGAGAGCTGTTAATTTTTTTCAGATTATACCTAATAATTACAGCTTGCAAAGGTTTCCCCTTTTCTCTGAAAAAAAGCCTCACTGATTGTGGTGGAAGAATTGTTATAATGCAGAAAAGAGTCTTTTAAGTTCACTGGAAAAGAAAAGCATGAAACATCTTTATATAGTTCAAAAATGAATGTGTAATTTTCTCTATTTACTTGAGGTTCAAATTGGCTGTGTAGCAAGCATCAAATACAGGCGTATCTTTGCTTCATTATATACTAGTGTTTGGAACCAGAGACAGAACAATTTCAATAAAAACATTAAAAATGAGATTGATAAGAGCAATATATATATTTTTCTGAGCCAGCAGGCTTCTCTTGCTTCACGGGAAAAGTTGGCTAAGTAAAGAAAAGGACTGTTTTCTAGAAATTTATCTCATCACTTCCGAGTAACATAAAAAAATCAAATTAAAAATACCTTGCAACATTCCAAGTAGAATAGGAACCAGGATTATATTAGTGAGAAAGTAAGTTATCTGAAGCTTTAATCTTAGCTGTTGTTCTTTAGTTAACTACAATTACATAAAGGACACCACGCTTTGCTAAAAGGATGACATGTACCAACCAATGTGTGCCATTCCTTCTGTGGTCAGTTTTTTTAGTTGGGCAATTAAAGTTTGAAAGCTGGAATAACTTCTTTAAAAAATCATTCCCTACGTTTATCCTCTTGACTCTGTAATGTGGCCATTACGGAAAGCTTGCAAACTGTGATAGAACTGAGCATTTTGGTGTTACGTTTTTGAGAGTGAGTCCTCTGATGCCTTTTCCTTTTATTGAATAGAGATTGGCGAGGAGATTAAAAAGCAAGTAGAAATCCAAGCCAACCTATATATTCAATTAGCTCTGCCTAAGAATTTTACAAATTTCTTTTCATTCCTGACTCCACAGGTCTGTTTCATTCACTCAGTTCCAGTCACCTAACTAATTTCTTATAGAAAAAAAGTTCTGTACATTTAGAAAGTGATTTGTGTAACTTTGAAAATGCAAACCATGTGACCTTTTGCTAGTGATTCAATCAGATTTCTGTGCATCTGCAGAATTCATTTTTATCCACAGTGATTTTCTTTTTATTTTTTTGATGCATGACTATATTGCCTTTATCTGATTCTCCTCATGAAATGGTGCATGTCTATGGAGATGCTTTGCTGCTGTTCTCCCAATATTTCAGACTATCCAAAATGATGAATATCATGAAAAATCATTCACCAGCCATCTAAGTGAAAACCTAGATGTTTCCTTGCAGTCATAGAGAAAGTGTACAGTCTGCTGCTGATTTAAAATGTGTACTGCAAGTGACCCTAACACTGGGATTTGGCCAAGTTCAAAGCAGCTGTGCAGATGGACACAGAAGGCAGAGGGAAATAGACCCTTTTAATCACAACAAGGCTGCTCTTGTTTTCCTATCTATAGTGGAAATGTATGCCAGGCCCTAGTACTCAAAAGCAAGCCTGCAAATGTGCCAGAATAAGCAGCAATGACACTCTGTTCTTAATAGAAAGTTAAAACTTGATAGAATTTTGTCCTCTAGCTTGTCAGTATTGTCTTCTACTTCTCTCTGTGTGAACTGGCATTGAATTGGTTTAAAAGGTGCACACAGAATTACTGTTGGTGAGACAAGAAGTTCTGGATGTGTGTGTTTGCTCCTGATCACTGTTACTAAATTGGATCCATTTCTGTGAAATGATTATAATTGCTTGTAAATGAATTTCTCTTTTGGAAATAACTTTTTTTTCTGAAGTTCCTTGTTGCATATAAAAAGAGTTCAATTAACAAGTTGGGGTTGGATATTTTTTTATTATAACTTTTTTGTGTATTATGGGAGAACATTATGAATATGTAACAACTGAGCTCAATCCTAGTCCCACTGAAGTAAATGGGAACAGGGGAGTGTTCACACCTTTTTCTGAACAAGTTAGCTGTTCCATTTGCAGTAGGAATGAATGTACAGTATCTATTTCGCTATTGCATTTTCAACCCAAAGTTTATTGCAGAGATGTGTGTCAAGCTATTGGCATAACCAGACTCTCAATATGTAAGGCTTTTGTTCTAATTATGCAGATTATGGCTACAAATTATCAGATTTTACATGATTTTGTATTAGTTTATCTCTGACTGTGTGTATTCATTTTTGTTGAGAGAACCACGTTTACTCACGAAAAAGTACTGAGCAGAAGCAGTTGGTTAGGAAATACTATGAATTCTATTTCAGCCCCCACTGGAGTAATTTTCACACCTGCCTTTTAGGAAACCTTTCAGAGTTTTTTGTTTTGTTTGTTTCCCCTTGGTGAATATGTGAAATGTGCCAGCTATAGTTAGGAATCATTATTTTTAGCCAGTTCTGCCTCTGTTTAACACAATGCAGTACTCGAGTGCAGAGTATATATGTAACTGAAAAATTATGTAAAATGGGTTTGGAGTTTAAAAATAAATATTTTTTTACAGGATCTCAGTGGATATACTAATTTTAGATTCTTGCTTTTTTCCAGGAAGGCTGTGTAAGGGAAACATTAGAGTGGTGTGCAGCAGATATTTCGCATACATGTATTTTACATACACTTATTATTCCTTATCTTGTCTACTAACCCTTTGGGACCAGGAATTTGGGTTTACGGATGATACCCACCTCTTCAGCATTTGTAAGACTTCACATAGACATACTATGAATGTGCATGTGTATCTGTGTATATATTTGTGTACAGTTATATTAATTCATTTCTAAATGAAAATTTATTTACCTTTAAAAAAATCGTCAAATATATTTACTGGCTGGATATACATCTGCATTTTGGGATTCTGATTAACTGATATCAGTTACTGTAATTTATTTTTTCTCTTTCTTCGTTTCTCTTTTTTCTCTTTCTCCTTTCTTTTTTATAAAGAAAAGCATCTGCTCATTTCAAAGACATGCACCATTGCCAAGCAATCTGGTGTAGTGGCTTAATATGCTAGCAAATAATTTCACAAGTTGTTTGTGTATTTGAGGGCAGTATATATGAATATCATTATATTCTGAAGTGAAGAATGAGAAAATTATCTGAGTTTATTTAAATTTTTGTAAAAAGCCAGACAGTTTCAAAACCTGTAGAATGCTTTCCATATTTTAATTGGAGTATTTAAATCCTGACATTCTATATCCTACCAAGAGTTTTTGACTTATATTGATAATATGAGATGACACATTTACTTTCAGTACTAACTTCTGAGCATGGTCAGTATAAGATGATGTAATAATACTTTCCGAAAGAGGTGGGCTCCTGTGAACTAGAGCTGAAAGCATATTGTGTTGCAGGTGTCCAGTAGGATTTCTAGGCACTGTCCTTAGGTCACTGCCCTCCCTTTTCCGATTCTGTTATATCCCCTGTGTAGATCATCCATGTTTATATTTGCACATCCTTTGTTCTTAGTCATACCTCAGATATGTATGCTATAGTTCACTTTTTTCTCCTCAGTCATTTTGATGTCAGTAAGGTCTCTGATCTGTTCTGTTCAAAACCACCCTTCCTTGACCCTTTCCACCTCTTGTGTCCCTTGTGTCAACTTATATACTTATAACCCTGTCCTGTTTACTGACCTTACTCCTTCATTTCATCCTGCACTGTTTAAGTGTAGATTAAAAATGGACCTTCAAGTGAACAGTGTACAAACCTGTCCTTCAAAAAACA